GTGCTTACTAATTCAAGTCTCTGTGTTAAATCTGAAAAATGAATAATGATAATTTCAGTGAGAAATTTTTTCAATTAAAAAAATATAACTGAGCAACCTACTATTCAAGTTTTAAAGTTAATGAGTCCCAAAACTGATTTCATCATGAAAGACAACTGAGTAGCATCAAATGTTCAAACGTCTACTTAAGCAAGCTCAATAGAAAGCTACTATATATGTGATTTGTTCATATTCCCTCTCAGAATCACAGAAATAGCTTGCTTCATGCTAGAAACTCTGGCAAGGGATTTTTCTTTTAAAGTTATTACCTTGGAAGGCCATGATCATAAGAAAGTTTTCATTTAGTAATCATTTTCTTGTGAGATTCATAATTTAAATCCTTCAGTGTTAACAAAAATTACATACTTTGAAATAATGGGCTCAGTAATCACTTTAAAGGTGAAATTTTAGTCTCAGATGTTATACAAAATGCAATGTGTATAATGTTGGTGCTACACATTTTTCATTGTATTGTAGTTAAAAAATAATTTTAAAAGGAACTCAAGTTTAGCACTAATAATCTTGATCTAATCTTTCTTTGTGGGAGGAATGGCACTAGCAGTCCATTCATAGTGTGGGGTCAAAATAGAACATGATTAATAGCAAATCCTCACTCCCTGAAATAATATTCTAACATAGACTAAAACATGAAAGTCACTTCAACCCATTATGGAAGATCATAGCAGAAAGTTCTGTGTTTTCACAGATTTGCAATATTTAACAAACTAATATTTGTTAAAATGTTAACTAGTAAAGAATAAAAGTTTTTTATTACAGACTCCAAAATCATATAATCTAATTTCTGGTGTTACTCTGTATTGATCATTCCTATTGCATGCATGCTTGGTGACATAAAATTCCACAATACTCTTGTTTACAGCACTTATACTGAAAGGCAATGAAACATCTTTAATTAGATTGGGAACTTATGGGCTAACTCCTACGCTGTTATCAGACTCAATGACAGCATTTTTAAAAATTCTAGTGAGATAAAAGCTCATTGCCATGGTCCCTGTCCCACTAGGAAAGGAGCACCTCTTACAGAAGTTTAATGTGTAAATTGTGAGGTTAAGGCAGAACTGTATACCATCAGTAATCTTCTATCCTTCTGCCAATGAAAACAAGACCTTTTCATCACCACAGTTTAAAAAGCTATACGTGAAGCATTTCAGAAAATGTTCACTATTTTATCTGGACGATAAATTTCTTCAATTTTTGCCTTTGTCAGATCCACAGGCCACATTAGTTGTTATTCCTCATGTGTCCCTTTAACATCTATTTATCAGAAAAAAGTACTAAAGCAATTTTACTGAAATTCTGACCCCATTAATAACCTGTACAAGTTTGCCTTTTAATCCCAAATCACCATAGCACGCTCTGAAGAAGCAGGAGTTGACTCAGCAGGGCCTCTGATTGAGAGCTGAGGTAGGCGAGTTGTTAGGACGAAGTGAGCATGGGCTTCAAGTCCTTAGAAAGGTGCTATTGCATTCCCATGGCCTCTTTCTAGTTAGAAATACTGAAATTTTCTATCTCAGAATGAGGTAGCCTCCAGTATTATTCTGTATACGTCAAGAGAGTAGCATCATCCCCCACAAATAAGACGGTCCTCATTTAGAATGGTCTATTGACCTAAAAAAGAGGTTTCCCTGAATGAATAGAGGTCAAGATGATTAGTTTGCTATATAGCAGTTTAAAAACGGACACAATAAGTAAACTACTATTCTTTAAGTTTCAAGGTTTCTCAGAGTGTTTCAAAGGTTCCTGACATGGATCTTTATTTCCTCAGGTATCATCTGACAGTCATTTCTGGTGGTTCAAAGACTATGGTTCTAACATGTATGCAGTTTCCAAACATAACTATGGGCATTTGGCCCTTTATTTTTGAGAAGTGTACCCCACTATAGTTTATTCATAACATGAAATATTAGTGTTTGCCAACAAACAGAATAATAAACATGGATGTGGCTATGAAATTACAGTGAGGCCAGGAGTTGTTTGTCCCCCTTATTACTTGCCCCTGGCACCATTCTCAAACTCATCTCCAGAATCTTTTTATCTACATCACAGCAAACCATCAACAAAAATCAGTGAGTGAGATAAGAGCCAAACTAATAAGACACCCGTGCTCTTTGTGGTGTTCTCATCCCATCTCACCTCACCACATCACTGTTGGGAATGACTAATTGCTCCTTTATGTTAATAATGACAAAAGTTTGCCTTTTAAAGAGCAGCACTTCATCACTTAAGACAACACAATGGAAAAGGAATAAATATTCAAGAACTTGGCATTTTTTTTCTCAAAGCACTTAAACATTTAAATAAAAAATTTTAGAACCTACCACAAAAGATAGCAATGATATGAAGCCTAAATATTTATTCATCTAATTTTTTAAAATTCATTGTAGACCACTGGACTATAAGCTGAAGACTGGGGGCAAGCTATTCTCCAACTTAACACAAAACTAAGTAGTGCACCTAAGCAGCAGTGCAACTAGCAAAAATGTTTATAGACTCCCAAGTTTTTGAAGGATCTTAGAGGGAAGTAAAGGAAATGTAGAAAAGAATGATGAGGAAAACAGAAAGAGAGTAAGAAAAAAGGTGCATATGAAAGAGTGTGACAGCCCAGCACCAGACACTCCTCAGATCCACCCATGTTACAGGTTCTCTCAAATCTTGTAGCACATTTTCTAACATCAAAATTATCTGAACCCAGTGCTATCTATGATAACATGGGTATAAATTAAAACATGCTTAATTGCAGTTAAAAGGATTACAGTCATCAGAAGTAAATTTGTTTACTATTTATACTCAAGTGTACATTTACTTCCAAAGTGTGGGAAGTTGAAGCTAAAATCACTACAGGTTTCTCCATACCTGGGGGGAACCTATGGGATCATCTGCAAACATGTATAAAATGGTAATATATGGATTGCAAATTATAACTGAAGTCTTATTTCTACTTATGAATGGAATTGGAAGCGTGCTATAAACACTATGCAATTTTCAGTGGAAATTTCAAGTCTTACAGAGGGCTATAATGTAAGTGTCACAACTATGATCAAAAGCATTTACAAATTATGAATAAAGAAGTAATAATCTGGGTGGTGTATTATTTAAATTGATGGATCCCAACAATATGCAATGAAATGAAATTTAACCAAAACATTTCTGGGAGCTCCTTGGGCATCTGTTATGGTAGTATTTGATCTGAGTTTCTATGAAGAATGAATCCTCCCTTTCTAATGTTTGCTGGCCTCAACCTTTTACCAGAACCTTTTACTGAGTCTTATGAGAGGCAGGATGATGAAATTTTTTAAAAGTTCTGACACCGTATTCTCCTCTGAGAAGTGCCTGGATTGAATGAAAATAGTTTGATAAACCGGATAGGTTACTGCACTGCAGCAGTAACAGAGTTCAGAAATTAAGATTTGTTTTTACTAATGTAATATTTCTAAATCTAGAGTATTTTAAAATCTAGAATATCTATCACTATGAATATTAGTATTTTTCATAGTTTTGGTTTGTACATTTTAGATTTGTAGAACTTTTCTTACCAAATAACATATTCCAAAATATTTACTTAAAGGAATTTAGCATATTTTAATTTTTTTCTAACTTTAAATGATTATAGTACTCTTCATAAGCATCTACCACAGTAGAGATTTTTTTTTAGTGTCATAGATCCAGTTTGATTCATTCTATTAAAATATATGTATATTCTATACCAACATAATATGCTGAAATCTAAATTTTCATTATAAATATTTAAGTCACTTCACTGTTTTAAAGTGAAAACTAACCAAGCAAGACCAAGTGTTTGGATTCTAGACTTATTACCTTTTTTTTTCTTGCTCCAAAATTAGTCAAATTTTGCAAGGAAAAACATTTTGGAGGTCCTTATGAAGTTAATTTTCTATTTTAGAATTATTCTTTCTGTAAAATGGGGGAGTATCTTTAGAAATCTTTGCTAAAACTGTTTAAAAATTAACAACTTATAATGATAAGTTTGATGACTGGTCTTATTTTTCTGAACTTTTCAGAAGCACTGATAACACTAAGGAAGTAATGGTTTAGACAACTGGAGGTGATTAAGTGGAGGACTTGACAGTGCTATATATTAAATTATTATGTCTAAATCCTTTTCTAAAACTTAAAATAACATGAAAGGGCAGTATGGTCAAAATGTAGGGGTTTTTTGTTTGTTTTCTGCAACAGAACCTTCAGCAAACAAATTACCAAAGATTCCTGCATATGAAACTATTAGAAGTAAGTAGTATGATGCAACTGTGAGTATGGCAGACTAAACTGCTGAATGTACTCATGATCAAAATCCCCGTCACTAAAATCCTACTAAAATAAATTCCACACTTAGTATTTATACAATGAACTTTCAAGGTGGCAGATGAGAAAGCTGAACACTGAAAGTCACTGAACTTCCAATCTCTGCTTAACAGCCTCACTTCCCACCGGCCCAGACCACCTCCCAAAACAACAATTACAAATCCATGTACTATCCAGGTAGTCCCCTTCTTTACCAGACAAAGAATGGAAGGACTCTGCCTTGTAACCACAAGATAAGATAGAAGTACTGAGATAATACAACCAACATTCTTACCTTATAGATAATCTAGAAACAGATGCATCCTGGAGGTGCTTTAAGACAGCTTTCTTTTCAGGTGAACAAGGTACGTTCAATGATGACCTAATGTTCTCTACCAAGGATTTAAATATACTTTCTATATTATTAAATTTTTAAAGTCTCAAGTAAAAAGTATAATCTTAAAGATACAGAAAATTGTTCCTGCTTTTTATAAAGGAGTAATGGGTTATGGCATGACTTTGATTTTAATTTTAAATCCTAAAAATTACAATTTTCTTATAATAGTGTGAAGATAAATAGAAAAAAATAACAAAAACTGTAATGGGGAACATACTAGGACAGTGATGGCAAACATTTCAGTGCTTCAATAATACAAACAGCCCACTGCAGCACACATGCCATAGGTTCACCATCACTGCTCTAGGACAGTCATATGTCATACAATGACACCTCAGTCGATGGCAGACTGCATATGACAGTTGTCCCTTAAGATTGTATGACCTAGTGATGTATTTCCCAAAATATCCCTGTCATTAAGCAATGCATGAATGCAAAGTTTTGCTAGAAAACTTTAGAAATATAAGAATTATGTATCTTTATAAGTACACTTTTAACTTTTTAAGACCTATTATTTCATTAACCAATTTAAGCAATTGTTTATATCAAAATGCTATTTTCTTCACAAATAAAGAGTTTTGCCTCTCCCTCTAATTTGGGCCCATAACTCCTATTTGATAACATGTTTAATAAGATTTTAAGTACCAGTATTAATAAATCCAGAAGTCAGAAATATTCTGAGTTAATTTCCAGAATAGCTTTCATGCATTCTGATGTATTTTATTGTTTAAACAAAATTAAAAATTTGAGATGTTTTGGGTGCTTGAGCAAAAAACTGGAAACCCAAAGAGAACAAATGTAAATGGAAGAAAACTGCTCTGCCCTCATGAAGATGATCTTCCCCAGCTCACACATTAGTTCTAAATACACTGTTAGTGTCTGCTCCCAGAAGGACCCCTGACACTGAAACAAGTTAGAATACCTTAATTTCATAGCTTATTGAGCAGCAGGAAAATAATTTTCACATAGTCCTATAGTTTAGGTGGATCTGTTGTTACCTAGCATACAGGCTTAAATTTTTCGATATGTTTCCAAAGAGTAGAAGAATTTAAAAGAGAGGTACCAGAACTCAAGATACTACATGAGACAAATAAAATATTTCCAGTTTTAACCAAACTGCAACTCATTCAATATAGCCTGAGGTATTTTAAAATATTTAACAAGCTGAATAGCATTCACAGTTTCCAAAGTTAGCGTTTACTGAGATAGCTTCAAATATTTGATTTTCAGATATGTTTTTCTGTAACAGAGTCTCTTCCCTCAGACTCCTGGAAATATCACATAGCTACTTGGTGGGAGAAAACAGTTCTTGTAGGAATAAAAGTTCTATTTCCCAATCATTGTGCTATTCCAAGGATACGATTAAAAAATAGAAAATTTGCAATTCATATAAAAGGAAAACTTGCTTAATATTCAAAAGTAAGTCAAGTCTGGTAGAGGTATATAAGACATTAAATAACAGAATCCGATTCTTTCTTGAAGATTCCAGATGAACTTGACAGCAGAAAGTTCTGATTCCCCAACATGTTCTCCATCTTTTCTCCACCAGTGGTTTTCTGGATCTCCCTCTGCTTCTTACTATGAATCCATGGGATAAAACAAAGTACAGCACCACCAATAAGGGGAGGGACTCCGGCGAGGTAGAATGCCACGTTATAGGAACCAAGCTTGTCACGAAGCAACCCTGGGAAGAGAAAAAGCTGTCACCAAGAGAGAACAAGTGTGCCTGTTAGGGCCTCATATCAGTCACCTATGGCCACACTCTTAACCTCACCTCCACAGGACTGGTTCAGACATCACAGAATTAGACTTTTCTTTCCCACTTTTTATTTTTTTTGGGGGTACTGGAGATCGAACACGGGTCCTTGTGCTTAACAGGCAGGCGGCAGAACCACTGAGCTAAATCCCCGGCCCTTCTTTCCCACCTTTATTAGTGCATACCAGCTATAAAGAAGAATGGGTTTCATTTTGGCAGATTTGTACCTGCACATAACATACTTTAATCATCCCCCTCTTCATTCTCCATGACCCATCCTTCCCCTTAGTTTACATTTGGGGGCTTTCATGTGTATAATGTATTTTGATCACATTCATGCCCCTATTACCCACCCTAACACTCCTTTCCCTTCCCCTTCATCCCTTTTTTTTTTTTAAATCTAATAACAGTTCCCCTTCTATTTTCTTGTCTTCTTTTATAGATTCCACATAGTAGGGAAAATGTGCAACATTTTTCTGTATCTGGGCTTATTTCATTCAACATTATGATCATGTTTTACATGAAATAAAAAATGTTTACAATTAATGTAACTACTAGAGAATCATCATATTTACCTGCCACTGGTGGGCCAACAGTCATGGGTATAGACATGAGTCCAAGGAGAAATCCAATTGCTTGGGAAACATCCTGGGCCCCAACTAATGCAAAGGCAATGGGGGCCATGATAGAAATGAAGCATCCATCAAAGAGTCCCATGATGAGACAGACAGCAATGAGGGCCCCAAAGACCCTGCACAGGGGTATCATCATGGACATCAGACCAATGAAGAAAAACGATAGTACCTAGGACAGATGACCACATGTCAACTCTGCTTCAGGAAAAGTGACTTCTAAGTAATGTCTACTTATATCCTCCTTCCCCTTAATTTTATACATATAACCAACTACTTTGAAATTTCCCTTTTATTTTCTTTATATTTCCATTAAAGGTCAAAGAAAACAATTACTTATATACTTACTTTCCTTCCCAGCTTGCAGACTCTTTGAGGTAGTCTGTAAAAGTCTTTGGATTAGATGTCAGGTTTATTTGCACCTGTTCAGTAGTCAATCGGCTCAAATTCATTCATTAAACACTTCATTTTTTAAAAATCTTTAAAACTATTACATTTTATTGGCAAATGTTATAGACATATTTAATCACACCAGAGATAAGATCCAGAATATTTATTTTGAGCCACTGACAATTTTAATCTTAATGTTAAGAGTAGTTAATAGACTCGAATACCTAATTTTACCTATTGGTTGGAGGGCACTATGCTATGTGCTAGAAATTTCAACAGTGAATAAGACCTGGTTCCTCCACTTGGGTTATGGAGAAACACACATTTAAGTAAATATAAGTAAAGATGAAATGCTCTAGATATTGCCATAGTTGCCTTTTTGTTCACTAACTGGAAGAAGAAAAGTTTTTAAAAGCATCAGGTGTTCTTAAATGTATATGCATATGAGAGCAATTGTAATTTATGTAATTTTTACTAAGTTCCAGGCCTTATTCTAATCACTTGTATTATATGACTGGCAATTCCTATAAAAACTGTATGTGGTGAATACCATCATAATGTTACCTCCATTTTACAGATGAAGATACTGAAGCTGGGAGAAGTTAACTAATATGCCCAAAGTGCACAGGATGGAGCCAGCCTGGAGTCTATGGTCCAGGTAGGTAGTGACAGGGAGCAGGCAGAACTGACACTGGGGCTGGAGAAAAGGGAAGAGGCCAGATAAAACAGCTATCTGGATCACTGCTTTGCTTCTGCTTTCCCTAGGACCCACTGTGGAACACCAAGCTTGGCTGCGTGCACCGCAGCAGCTCCTCACAGCCTGAGAACACTGAAGACACACAAGGAATTTATTTAAGTTATACAGATACCATGATACATGCTCTTAAAAAATATGCAACAGACTAGGTCAATTCTCTTTTGATACTGCATTATACAGCTGAGTGTATTCTTACTAAAATATAGCATTACAGTAAAATTATGATTAGTTTAAGAGCCTAAGTTGGCTACTTAAAAAATAAAGCCTGGCACATCACACTAGCATTTCCAAAGAATAAGATTTCATTATTCTGTTTTTTATTTTCTAATAAAATATCCTCCTCTCCAACCTAACTTCTGTGAAAGCAATTTCTTAGCAGCGGTGATTACTGAGCTTATAGCCTAGAAAGCTGGGGGAACAAGGACTCCAAAAATGGTGACCAGGTTTTAAACTCCTATGATCTTAAGCAAGCAGAAAAATTTAAGATGCTTCTATTCATTGAAACAAAGAGATCTAAGGACAAAAAAAATAGAAAGTGAGTTGAAATTAACAAGCAGGTAAAAACTTAAGGAGTTATATTTATGGAAAAAATTAACTAGACAAATTCCAATATTCTTAACTATACATACACTTTTACTACAAAATTAAAAGGAGATAAACATGGAAAGTCCTAGAAACATATCCATAATAAAACTCCAAAGAATCTAAAATAAAATTTTAGAATACCATAGAGCAAGGATCAATAGATTTATTTGGGAAAGTCACAGATCAAGCATTTCCAGCCGTACTACTGTAATTATGCTGTGTTAAATTTAAGAAAAAATCATGTATATTTTTTTCTTTTAATGTGTTTCGTATTCTTTTCCTACTGTCCCTACTGTGTTCCTTTCAAGATAACAGAAACAGTTCTGTGGAACTTTATACTTGGTCACGTTGAAACCCTAGTATACAGAGCTTGGCCCAGAGACCATTTTGCTTCGCAATAAATGTTTTCATGGCAGAATTTATGGATCATGATATTCAGCCACTTTACTTTTGGTAGCTTTCCTAATTTGCCTATCCATTTTGGCTTCTTCAACATTTTGTTCTCTGGTCAGTTTTGTAAAAAATCATTCACTTGAGAGTTTCAAATATATTTAGGACATATTATTTCTTAATTCTTTATCTTTTCTCAATTTAAACTATATTAATTTATATCATCTTTAAAATTTTTTGACAATGATTAACTTGTCACTTAAGAATTGAGTTTAGGGGGCTGGGGATTTAGCTCAGCGGTTCCACTGCCTGCCTCGCAAGCACAAGGGCTTTGATCCCCAGCACCAAAAAAAAAAAAAAAAAAGAATTGAGTTTATAGAAATTTATTCCTTAAAAACTAACTGGTCTGTTTACTTTATTTGTAGCTATAGTGGTGGGAAATGATGCTCTTTCCTAGCAGGTGTTACTACCCAACATGTAGCCACGTTGGTAAGAACACACCTGCAGGTGAGGATTGAACACCTCTTTCTTATACATAGGGACACCTGGGCCACAAGGGAACCATGCCCAGGTTTAATAAGCTGTCCATATAGGAGGCTCATACTTCCTTATCACTTCACAAAATAAATATTGATTTATAAATCAAATATTGACCTGTAGATACTGGAACCTAGTTTCAAAGAGGCATAAATTTAGCATTACATATAAGAACTACCCCCCTAGCACAGCAGCTCAGGTTAGGTTTAAATAAGGGATTCAGAGGCCTGTAATTCTCTTCTAGGCTCTGGCACTGACATTTAACAAGATGGTGACAGTTTAGATGTTTACACTGCTTTTGTTTTCTTAAAACCTTCCAAGGGAAGGGCTAGGAGATTTAGCTCAGTGGCACTGTGCTTGCCTCGCAAGCACAAGGTCCTGAGTTTGATCCCCAGTACCAAAAATAAACAAATAAATAAATAAAACACCATGTAAGGAAATATTTCATATCATAATATCACAAGCTCTAGGAACAGTGATGGTGAGTCTTTAGAGCTTTCAATGATACAAAGAGCTGGCTGTGGTATGTATACCACAGGTATACATAGGTATTCACCACTGCTCTGAAAGAATGAGCCCTCCTTAAGTTGATTAATATATGTAACAACTTTTTTCTCATACATTTCCCATTTCTATTACAAAGAGAGAATTCTTGAAGAAATGTCAGTTTACATTTCCCTCAGGAATCTAAATGTAGCTCAAAAGGGAAAATGAGTTACACCTGAATAAGCAGAAAGCATTTTTGGAGAAAGACTCAAAACTGAGGACAGTCAGATTCAAGTGTTGTTCCTAATATGTTTATTCAATAACAAGTTTCCATACTTTCAGAGCCTCAGGCTAGGCACTAGGGCAGAAAGTGGCCAGCACCACAGTCCTGCCTGTCCTGTAAGAGAGGGAAATGTTCAGGCGGCTGTTGCTTCTGCAGGCCACAGTACTTCCAAACTGCTTCAGAAGGAGTCTGCTGGCCTTTCTCCACGTGGGCACATGAGTACTTCAGTTTCTGCCAGGAGGAGGAGCTGGCACTGGTGCCAGAGTCTAGATGAGACTGTGAGGCCCTTCCTTGTTCAGGCTGGGGGTGGTTAAGCATTTGGGTACTACTTTAGAAATCGCTTACATAAGGTAAGATCTATACTCTCATCCCAAAGTACAGATTTAGGAAAATGTTAAATGCAATGAAGTTCACAATTAGGCAGCAGTGACTAGTTCACTTGACCTGAGCTGGAAGGGGAAGTTTACAGAGGAAGATGGATATGGAAGTCACTAGTTTTTCTAAATTACAAATGTAATGTAACTCATGAATATATTCTCTTCAAGCTTCAAATCTTACAGAAACGCATGTACGTATGTAGAAAAGGCTCCCTTTGCCCTACTCCCACCCACAGCCCATGCTCTCTCCCTCCTCGGGAATAACCCCGACAGTATGGTCTGTCCCTCCCGGACTGTTCCTACACACCCACATAGATCATTTGGGGTTGTGTGTGGGCATGATGTCCACACTTATCTCCATGTCACAGAGAAATACAACACAACAGAAGTGACCTAAATCCCAAGTTTTCAATTCTTTCATACGTAGTTACAACCAAGTCTTTCAAACACTCCTCTAAAACACCTAACATTAAAGATACAAGTAAGTCTGTAGTAATTTAATGGTGACTAGAAAGACAGGCCTATAAGGTTAAAGAAGGTGGTAAGAGGATGGCAGTGCACACTCAGCCTTTCCTCTCCCAATAAAGGATGGACTCCAGAAGCTTTGCAAGATTTTCTGTGACCATTATCACTCCATATAATGCAATTCAGTTATCTCTTGTGCCAGAAGCAATGGACTTCACTCAGCCATTAGAATTATTAGGTTGAAATACTTGGAATATGGGACTTTGATGGAAATTTAAATTTTGAACTCTTAAGCAAAAAATATCAGATATGTTTCTAAACAGTCTGTTGTCTATAAGAAAAGGCTTCTAATTTGGGGTAACAAGGTCTCCTTTCTTGAGAACTATTCCAAATCAGGATCTGTCTACTGTATTTAACATAATACTAAATTGTAGAGCCACATGTGAGGGCACAGGTCTGCAATAACAGCACTCAGGAAACTGAGGCAAAAGAATGGCAAGTTTAAATCCAGCTTGGGCTACATAATAAATTCAAGACTGGCCTGAACTAAATGATGACACCCTATCTTCATCAATCAATCACAAAATCGATCAGTCAATGCAAGGATTCATTAACCAACTTCTTTGGTTAATTAACCAACTTCTGGTGTTTTACATAAACTATTACCAAGCATCTCACCACATCCCCTCTGCTGGTTCTGAATATAAGCTGCTGGTAGAATAGGGTCTCACTCCGGAGCCCGTGCTCCTCTGCTCTGGGGCCTCGCAATCCCAGTATGACTGAGACCTGAAACTGGACCATACGGGAGGGCTATGAAGTATATCTATGTCAATGGTGTTCTAGGTCTGGCTGCTACTCAGAACTGGCTTCAGGGGCACGGAGAGGAAGGGAACTCCTACAGCTCCATGAGGTTAGGCTGTAAGAGACAAACGCAGGAAGAAATTGTGTCTGGGAAAACCCACCAGCAATGAAAGAAGGTAAATGGAAGAGCATTCCAGCCCTTGAGGCTGAGCAAAAAGGGCAAGGTGGGAGGGAAAGAGGGAGAGAGGGAGAGTCGAGGAAGAGAGAAAGAGAGAAAGAGGAATGAACAGAGGCAGCCTGAAGTGCATTGCAGCAAAGAAAAGTGAGGCAAGAATCAAAAACCTTGAGGGGAAAAAAAGCCAGGAGAAAAGGGAGAGAGGGGGGTAACTCATAGATTGAGTCCAGTGTTGTCTCACGTGCAGCTATGTTCACAAGTCAAAGTCCATTGGTGCCTCCTCATCAGCCACAAAACGAACCATAAGAATTTCTTGCTCCTTCTCTAGTGTCTGAAATGAAGTTACCCCACCTGTGTGTCAGCACATTCTACTGGGTTTCACAAACAAACACTGCTCTAAATTTGGATGAATGATATTGGATAAGGCCTTAAAGAAGCTATGTGTGGACAATTTCATCCAAAATGAAGCATCTAACCCACATCCTGACTTAACTCAATGCTATATCACTGCAGAAAACACATGGCATTAGTTAGAATTTTTCTTATAAATTACTTGAAATAGTCAAGTTTTAAAATGTGCCCTCCAAGGAGGTGAAAGGAGGGCAGGGACAAGGGGAAAAAATGAGAACCAAGACCTGTCATGTAAAGGTACAAGATCCCAATAATGAATGTAACTGTACTGTATGCCTAAAATGTGCCAATAAACTCAATTTAAAAAATAAATAAATAAAATATGTCCTGCAAATGACCTTTCTGTCCCATCTGTAAGAGGAAAAATATTTTAAAAATTGTTTTGGAGTTGGGTGTGATACCACATTATCTGTAATCCAGGTACTTGGAAAGATGAGGCAGGAGGATTGCAAATTTGAGGCCAACCTGAGCAACTGAGCAAGACCCTGTCCCAAAATTAAAATATTATTTTTTTATTTTTTTCCTCATTGAGTTTATTGGTACATTTTTCAAAATTAAATTAAATTAAATTTGTAGGGTATGGCAATACATGCCTATAATTCCAGCACTCAGAAAAACTGAAACATGTGGATTTTAAACTTGAGCTGAGCCTGGACAATTTCGTACCTTAGAGAGACACCAGCTCAAAAAAAAAAAACAAAAGAAAAGAAAAAGGGCTAGACATGTAGACATGTAGTTGAGTGCAAAGGCTCTGGGTTTACTCCCTAGCACCACCAAAAAGAGAGAAAGAGATAAGGAGAGGGAGAGGGAGTTGACGTGGCTCAGCATTAGAGCATTTGTTGAGCATGCACAAAGCCTTAGGTTTGATCGCCAGTACTGCAAAAATCACTACCACTGAGCAGGTTTCCATCATCCCTCATCTGGGCCACTTGTCATTTAAGTGTGCTTCCTCTTCTGTATTCTTGCCTCCCTATAATCTATCTTCTACACAGTGACATTCAAGCAACTACTGACATTAAAATGTAAAACCAAACCAATATTCTTCAATAAAAGCCCCTTATCCTTAACATACAATCTCATCTTGGCTTTAGAAAGGCTCCTAGTTTTTCAACATCTTCCATGCCACTCTCCCTGTCCTGTCCCAAACACACCCAGCTTTCTCCTTTCTCAGTCTTGCTCCAAGAATTCAGTGACCTGGTATATAACTCATCCAGGAACAAGAGGCACTCAATCTTTTGAACAATTAGAGGAGAAAAGTCTGTAATACAACAAATATTCTCTAGAGGGCTCTCTTTTCCCTTAAGAATGAGAAGGATATCTACAATGAGTACTGATAAAGGGGGGATGATCATAATAAAGTAATATATACATTTGACAAAGTAGCATCCAAACATATGAGGCCCTGGGTTCAAACCCTACTGGTAGTGGTAGCACCACCTCCACCACCACAAGAAAAATCCCTACACTTCCAGCTGTCTACACTTCCTACTAGCCATGTGACCAGGTCTTTTCTTTTCATTATTTGCCTGGACTAGCATACACACAGACACCTCGTAAGGTAGCTTCTTTGTTTCTCAGTGTTCACATCTGTAAGTGGAAATAAGGGTAGTAACTCCTGTAACAAGTTAGAACAAAGATTAATGAGAAAACTCATGTAGAGCTTATTTTATACTCTGGCATGTGAATTGCTCAACAAACCTCAGTTGTTATTACTATTAGTAGGTTTGTAGAAGTTACTTGTCTATAATAAATGTTCTAAAATTTTGCCTCTTTTTCAAGGAATTGCTTAAATCCTGCCTTTCATCTATAACATTAAGTCTACATGCTTAATCCCCAAATCCCAAGTCCTCCATTTGGCTCTTCTTACCTTCCTCCAACAGCCAAACTTTGGATATAGGTGTCAATCTTCCCATTTATTCACACGAGTGTGATCAGTCTTCTGTACCTGCCACTCCACTGAATCACCTCACTAATGGCTTCTTGGATGCTAAATCCAATGAAAACCCTTCAGGCTCCTTCTCACTAGCTACAGACACTGCTGGCCACTCCTGCCCCTAGAAACACTCTATTCCCCAATCTTTCCTACCAAATAAGTCCCTAGTCCTCAGTTCTCCCAATGCAGCCCATGAATGCCAAAGTCTCACAGGTCTCTTATCCAAACTTTCCCATTAGCTCCAAACTCAACCTGGCTTTTTTGCAAACACCACACATTTAACATGACAAAAGAGAGAGAGAAAGAGAGAAAGAGAGAGAGAGAGAGAGAGAGAGAGAGAGAGAGATCATCCTACAGAGATATACTGAATTATTGATCCCTTAAAAATAGCAAAACAGGCCAGGAATTTAGCTCAGTGGTTCCACAGCCTGCCTCACTAGCACAAGGACATAAGTTTGATCCACGGTACAAAAAAAAAAAAAAAAAAAATTGTAAAACCATCTACACTATTACCTGGGCCACACATCTTAAGTGGTTCCATTGAACACTCATTTTCTGTAGCCCTAGTTTACCCTGTTTGATCCTCGTATCTCTGCCTTGGTTCTTCATGTGTAGACTACCTCAGTAGTCTCCAGCTAGTCTCTGCGCCTCCACTTTTTTAATATTGAAATATAATTCCCACACTATAAGATTCACCCATTTTAAGTGTACCATTCAGTGTTTAAAATTATATTCACAATGTTGCACAATCATTATCACTAATATTTTCATTACCCCAGAAGAAACCCCACATACAGTAGCAGTTACTATTTTCCCTCAGCCCCTGACAACCACCAACCCACCTTCTCTGTCTCTACAGGTCTGCCTATTTCTGGACATTTAAATAAACTCAATATGTGACCTTTTGTGACTACTCAACTTTTGCCTACCCCCCATTCCATTCTATCCTTTCAACTGACTTCTATGAAACACAACTCATATTATTCCCTTGCTTAAAATCCTTGAATGTTTCTGACAGATTATAGAATAAATTTGATCCTTTTTATGCACATAAAGGACATTCCCAACATGGCCTTTCACCCGGCCAATCCATCTACTACTCCTCCTTTATTCCTTTATTCCACTGAAACATTCTTTTTCCCAGACATACATACTATGTACATCTCCAATTCCTTACCCTTGTGATTTCTTCTGCTTGGAGCACCTTTCTATGTAACTACTGCTTACCTTTTGAATTTTTAAAGAATTTTTTATTTGTGGTGCTAGGGATTGAACATGCTAGACAAATGCTCTACCACTTAGCTACATCCCTAGCCCTTTAACTACTACTTAATCTTTTAATACTGCTCACTCAGACCCTCACTTGTGATTCCCAGGGTGCCCATCTAACGTACGCATCATTCCATTGTGCTGCAACACAGCTTTATCCGTCTCCTCATGAGACCTTTTGCTTCTAGCTGAGGACCAACAGACTACCTTTCAATTAACTCTGCAGCATTTAGCAGTGTCTGACATGAAGTCACTTAAACACCTGTTAACTGTCAATAATGATCTTGGAATTAGCAGTTTGTTTATCACACCTAACATCGAGCAGGCAATTTGTAATAAGCCCAAAAGTCACATATGCACACTCAAATTTCTCAAGATACAGCAAAGGGCACTGCATCTGCATGTGACTGTAAGAGCAATGCCAAAAATAAAGAATTCTTCTTGGAAAAAGCAATGGGCAAAAACATTTTGGTTTGGTAGAATTTTTGATTAAACAAAGAAGACTGACTGCCAATTTCTCATGTTTTAAACACAAATTCATAAATGATTTTATTCTAGAGAAACTGCCTTTAGAAATTGTTATAGAAAGTGTTTTGCATTTTTATAGAAGAATGTAAACATATTAGTACATTAATGAGCCATCAGGCAATAAGAAAAAGTTTGTAGGAGAAGAGGAGAAGGAACGTGTAAGAAAGCACCTGTAGATAAACCTTCTTCACACCAGGCATATAATCTGCAATCCGGCCGAAGAGAAGCCGTCCGACTCCTGAAGTGATACCAATGCTCATAAGAACCACCTCTTTATTTTTTTCTTCTTGAAATGTTTCATTCACATGCTTCATCTGTAGACCAAATAAAAAGAAATCACATTAAGCCGGGCGTGGTGGTGCATGCCTGTAATCCCAGCACTCGGGAGGCTGAGGCAGGAGGATCGCTATGAGTTCAAGACCAGCCTGGGCTACATGGTGAGTTCCAGATCAGTCTCAACCACAGAGTGAGACCCTGTCTCAAAAAACAAAAAAACAAAAACAAAACAAACAAACAGAAAAGAAATCACATTAATTATGGTAGGAAACTTGCCAAATTTTGAGGCTTTGCATCAAATGTTTGTTTCTCTACAGTGTTGGCCCCCTCCCAAATTAAAATATTTGTATGTGAATTTTTCATGAGAACATGTGAAGAAAATCTAACATGATTCAGCTTGCATAATAAGAAATGAATTTTTGTGAGATTTTTTTTTTTTTT